AGAAACTTTCCAGTAATCATTCACAAAATCCTTAATATCACGATGATCATGCAGAATAACTTGCAAAGTATAAGCACTAGGAAATCCTATATGCTTCCATTGAACACATGAACACTGGTGTTGATCTAACATAACAACAAAAGAGTTCTTATCCCCCCGAACCTCAAACACATCATCAAATGAGCTACTAACAATCCAATGACTACCTTCTTAAACAAAACCTTTAAGATCGTCTTCTTTTTTCGGACATAACAAAGAAAACCACTTTTCTGAAACACGCCTCCCGTCGGACATCATGACCATCAGCCTCCCCCTAATCGATTCAATCAAATCAAGAATAGGCATGCGACGCTCTTTAAAAATCATTGCGTTAAATGATTCTGCAGTTGCATTACTTATTTCACCCCACCGATTTTCCCGAAAATGTATAATAGAATAATGCTCTTTTGGAAGATCATCTAAAAATGAATTGAAAATGTTTACTTCTCATTTTCTCAATATTCCTATCAAAATCTTCAACACTACATGCAAATGCACAATTTTTGAAATACTCACACAACTTATCATTCAAAAACTTATTATCAGCACATCACCTCTCTAAATTTTGCCTCAAATGTATAATGCAGAAACCATGAGAAGCAGTAAAGAAGTACTTTCGAATAGCATTCAAAAGACCATAATGTTGGTCAGTAATAAACGTGATCTTCCTTCTTTGATAATTTAATATCCGAGCCAAATATTCAACAAAACATGTCCAATTGTCTTCATTTTCTATGTCAACAATACCATAATACACAAGAAAAATCTTTGGATAGAAAAAAAAAATATTAATAATTATATCAAATGGTGCATAGAAAGAATAAATTGAGTCATTAATCAATTTGTAAAAACTAATGCTGCACGGATGTTAATCAAAAGTTCAAATTGTTAGATGTATATTGGTGGGAGGGGGGCCAACCCTTACCCATAACTTGATTCATAAAACATATACTACTTCCCAATCCACTCCACATTAATAAACAGATGTTGCACTTTAATAAATAAATCTACACAAAAAGAATAGCATGATTCTCCAAAATATATAAATATTGAAATTCAAAATGATATCACAAATCTGTAATTTATAACAATTAAAAAAAAACTTACTATTATTTGCAATTTTAGCACAACAACCAAGAAGAGTACCGGTATATCTTCCCTTCAAAAATGTATCATCAATGAACAACATTGGTCTACACCATCAGAATCTTTTAACACAAGCTCCAAAAGATATGAATAACCTTTCAAACCGATTACTATCATTATCAAGTTCTAGTACACAAAAGAATTCATCATTGGCACGCACAAACTCATCAAGGTACCAAAGCAAATATCAAAAAGAGAGAGTCTCATCACCATTAACCTCATTATATGCAATCTCTTTGTCACACCAAGCTGCATGGTATTTAACATTAAGACCATAACTCACCTTCATTTCTCTCATAACATCCTTTGCCTTAATAGATAGATTTGAACAAACCTTAGCAGCCAACAAAGAGGACAAAACAGAAGGGCCAAATCTTTTATTCTCTTTTTGACGAACACGTCCAGTGCAAGTATGAATATTATTTAATTTTTTAATGATAAAACAACCACTAGGCTCTTACACAATAGCATAAACACCATTGACACCCTCCGACGATTTCTTTGAGTAAATATCAGTAAAACGCTTCCAATCATTCTAATGATCTTGAAATCAAAACCAACCTCAATAGAGTATTGTATAAGTTTTTTTACGAAACTCAACTGCACCATCTTTATAACTTTGACCCTCATAAGAAATATAATTATGTCACTCATTTATTGCATAATGGTGAGGTCCACAACAGCCATACTTACCAAATATTAGTTCTCATCTCCAATACTATTAGATTCACTTAGGCAACAAGAAGACAGTACTAGTAAAGACAATAGACATCTCCTTCTTAGCATGAACATAAACATCAACAACTGAATTTGAAATCAATTTATTCACTAATAGAAGGATCTAAATATCTTCATTGCACTCTAATAAACAGTTTGGTTTACCTCCGTATAATGAGTATTTCAACAAAAAACCTCCTGATGACAAACTTGGAAACCTAAAAGTTAATTGCCCATAGAAATCCTCATAACTAGTATGTAGATAAAGCAGCACAACTACTGCATAATTTTCATATACACACTTCAACACTTTAACAACGAACATAATCTACACACACAAAAAAAAGAAAAAAAGAAAAAAGTTAAACTGATATTGCACAGAAATAATTAGATATATATATATATGCATTTTAAAATATAAATATAATAATCAATAAAAACTGATGCTACACAAAACCTTTCAAAAATGATGAAACTCTTAGAATATTCTGCAAAAATTGATGATGCACAAATGACAAAAAAAAAAATTGTATAAAAATTGATACTGCACAAATATCTGTAACACATGCTACAAAAAATGCCAAAAATGATTAAATAATCCATTAACTAGTTGCTAATCAATTGTCCTTTCAATAAACCAATGTCAAGCAATTCTTTGTGATTATATAAAATTGATGTTGCACAAGTATTACATTGAAAATTATTAAATATTTATGGGAGGGTTCCCCCTCCCCAACCCCCCTCCCCCCCCCCCCCCCCCAAAACCCCCAAAACTTATGCCAACTGATTATGCAAGATTCTATAAGCTGATGTGGCACAACTACTGCATAAAGCGATTCTTTGTGATTATATAAAATTGATGCTACACAAGTATTACGTTGAAAATTATTAAATATTTATGAGGGGGGAGTTATGAGGGGGGTTCCCCCTCCCCAACCCCTAAAACTTATGCCAACTAATTCTATAAGATTCTATGAGCTGATGTTGTATAAATATTGCGTTTAAAAATATTAAATGTTTATGGGGGGATCTCCCCTCCCCCAAAACTTATGACAACTGATTCTGCACGATTCTATAAGTTAATGCTACATTAATATTAATAACCTTCGCTAAATACTAAACTAACTCATACTACATTCCAAAAAACAAAAGGAACTTCAATGAAAACAAAAGCAGTACAACGAAAATTTACCTTCACCAAACACTATATCAAATAAAAACTGAATCAAAATCTTCAAAACTAAAAAAATGTGACTGTAAAAAAACAAAAACGATAACATAAAATAAAAATCAATGCGACCAATAAAAAAATCAAAAATCAAAAACTTATTTCAAAATCTAAACCAAAATAAATTCAAAAACACAACACTTCAAAAAAACTAAATCAGAACAAATAAAATTCAGAGATATGCTTACCTTCGAAGAAAACTTGAATGATTCGAATATAAATTATGGTGAGAGATAATTGAGGGAGATGACGAGAGATGAATCAGAACAGAAAAACTTTAGAGAGAAAGAAAAATAGTAAAGAAACCAAAATAAAAATTGAATGATTCAAATAGAAGAGAGTAAATTCCGTCAATCACCGCCGATCACGTTTAACAGAAAAAGGAAGGGCAAATACATAAGTCCATTTCTAATAGAAAAACAGGACATGATGTCATCTTACACGCATTTAAAAAATGTCTTTCCTTGAAATGTTCAAAAAATGTAGTCTCAATATATAATTAAGTATTGAAAGTATACTCTTAAGTGTAATTTTTTCAAAATTTAACATAATATATTATTATTTATAAATAAATGGCTTCCCTATTAATAACACTGAGGGCTATTATAATAAAAACACTTACTAAACTGTGTATGTGATTAAATTTTAGCAAGTGTTAAACTGACACTATATCGGCATGGTTACCAGTTGGCCGTAGACCCGACGCTTAAATCTCCATGTTGCATGATAGATAACATTCATCTCAACCAATTTCTATTATTAGGCCACCAAATACAAAAGAAAATACAGTTAACCATACGATAGTTGACATTACGATTGTCAACTTTTACTTTATCACAACCTAAACACTTGATCCTGTGGCTTTTTTCTCAACACCTAGAAGAGGACCCAATTTTGATGAAATAGAACCCAACACCTTTTCGAGTGGGACATGTAAATCTTAAATATGCATGTTTAAATACTTGAAATCACTATTTAATACAACGGTCTGATAATATTCTTCTTCATTTATAAATAAGAAGTCTTAAGTTCGAAACTCATAAATAATGAATTCAATACCAAATTAGGTCATTAGTGTAAAATATATCAATGTACTCAAAATTAAAAAATAAAAAATACTTGAAATCGAAGTACAGAAGAATTAAAATGAGCTGGAATCGGGTTATGAAGGAATCGCGTTCCTTAATTACGAATGTCACACCTGCATTTGTGTAGGGCTCAAGGGAAAAACCTGAAATGGTAAGCAGCATGAAGTCAAGTTCGGCCAACCCAAATATCAATTCATTGGCCAGGGTTGTAGTTGTAGAGGAGTTGAAGCTTCACCCAAAGTCTCTCAGACAACGCAATTCTAAACATACCTCACATTTCGGCGTCAAAGCCATGTCAACGTTATCATAATATTCAAGCAAGCAAACCTCAACCAGAACCTCTTATCATTTTTAGCCGTCGATATTGTGCGATTCAATGCTGCTTTTCTTTTCAATTGCAAGTTGAATTTTTTGATCAGGGAATTAGGCAAGTGATATGTTCTGCTTGTTCTCCATGATTGATAGTGTTGACATTGCAGTAGTTTCCGTCTTCACTTGAAGGAGGTACAAGAGTTTCTATGATTTTATACCCGCATTCTGCATTGGCGTAGTTTCATTGGAAGGGCTACAACTTTCTACTATCACAGCTTTTCTTAGCAGCATCATTTATTTCATTGCAGCAGACAAGGCAATGCTGCTAATCGATAGCAGCATCCATTCCATTTGACGTTGTCAACAGTAACAGATATTCGAATAGCTCGAATTCTTTCAGGTTTTTTTTTAACATAAATAAACTAATGACTCATTTATAAGCACAAGTAAGAAAGAGTTACTTCAATCAATAAAAATGAAAGCCAGCGAATAAGAAAACTCACCGCCTGTAAATTCCTCCAATCCATCCCCAAGGCTTGTTCAAATGAAAATTCTGTGCCAAATACGGTTGAGTGTAGACAGATGCCAAATGAATATTACATGAATTTGATGAACGTTTACAGCTTATTAAGAAATATGGTAAGACGAAGAAAACAGGCTCCCTGGGTTTTGAAATTGGGGAAGAAAACAGTCTTCAAACAACATTACATGAATACATGGGTACACATGCACAAGTAGACAAACTAAAGTGACAAACAATCTTACAATAACACAAGCACCGGAAAGTGGAAACAGACTATTGTTTCTCGGAGGGCATTCCACTGGTAATTTCAAGTTCCGTCTTGCAGTTGTCCCTCAAATTTTTTAGTGTGACATAACTGTCTTCCTGCCAAACAGAAACGAGACAATAAATCACATTAAGACCCCCAAAAGGAAAAGTCACTAGTTAACAAAAGAAATCTAATCTGTAATGCAAAGATTTTACAAAATTAGGCTGACTACTAACACTGCTATACCACAAGTTAATTAGTTGAATCTAGGTTTTCCTCCACTGCCTTATGGCCAGCAATAGGATGTGGGACTTCATGTTACAGACTAAAGTTTCATTAATTAAGGTTCATTGATCAAAAGGCTATGGATCATTAACATAAAACTGAAATAGAGGCAAATGTGAAAGATTTCTCCAAGATAGGTAAAATAAACACGATAAGAAAGTTTCTTCCCAAAGAAAGTGCAAGCCAGGCCATAGTAAACAACGTTATACTCACAAGATGGTTGCTTTCATGAACAAGCACATCCTCCATGTTAAGAAAGAGTGATCTCCACTGACTCGAGAGATCATATTCACTTTTTGACGCTTTGTTTGGATGTAGTCGGCCCTTAGTATTAATCTCCTTTCCCCTGACACATTTCTCAACCAATATGCTCGCTTCTTTTTTACTCCTCTTCAATGCTAAAGATAAAATGTAAAATTAACGAACAATAAACTATTTCAAAGTAAATGAAAAAAACAATGTCTACTCTACCTACACTTACCATCAAATGAAAGGCAAAAATCGAATTAATGAATAGTAAAAGTATTCCGGAAAGGAAAGAAAAAGCAACGTCAAAAAACAAGTTAAGATGTTTCACCATAGCAACATTTCCTACACATTCTGCACAAACTCACCAGCAATTCGACCCTTGATATCCTGGTATTGGAGATCCGACAAGACGTGAGCAGCTGATTGTCAGATTGCAAAAGAACCAAACTTATGTCAGTCAACATTTGAACTTCCAGCTCACAAGCAAGCAGGTATAAAAACTAACATAAAAAGGAGTTGTAAATTGTCATACCTTTCAAGCAAAACGAACAAGAGCAATCTTTGAGCAAGTATTCACCTACATTCAAATCAGCACTGCCACCACCTTTAAGAGTCGTGCATCTTTCCAACTTTTTTAATTCGTGGGATTTCGAGCAACTTTGCGACCTAGGCAACCTCGACCACTCATTAGAACCATATTTGGTTGTTGCCACTTTACCAACTCCAATATCCTTTTCATTATTACCGCAAACAACAGCGACTAATCCTTCATATAGAGGAACGCTTTGATTAACTTCTGAAATGTGTCCGGGTTTATCATATTGACATTTCCCCCCATCACCACAACAGTCATTCTTACACATTCCTGAGCATTTTGAAATTGAAGCAATGGACGAGCAATTATCCATCAATGCATCACCGGCTTCTAGAGCACTGCGCACATTAGCTCCACTGTCACTGGACTTTTCCCCCATATCATTTGACGTAGTCAAGGTAACAGAATCGCTGTCGTCATTCGACGAATCATCAATTTCACTATAAGTAGGCGAAAACACTGATTCCTGTGTGCCCTTTGGCGAAGACAAAGCTTCAGGGTTACAATTTGCTCCAGTTTTGGTCTTGCTTTTCTCTCCTACTAAATCCTCAACCCCTAAAGACAATTGCTTTGCAAATTTCGAACCCCTATTTTCCAAATCAACATCTTTACCGAACTCATCTCGAGATTTAGCACCCGAACCAGCTGAAATCATCAAAAACCCCCTTTTTATGGGCCGGTTGGTCAAATCACCGAGAACCCGTCGGGATTTGCAAGACCCATTGGTTGAATTATCACTACTCATAATGCAATTGAATTGCAAAAGGATAAACAAAATCGAAATCTAATCAAGCCAATTAAGCATTCAACCTCAAAATCTTGAAACCCTAAAAACCCCAATTCTCCGGCGGCTCGCCAAAAACAATGGATTCTCCAACTTCTGATCCAAAGGTTAAAAAAAAAAAATGGAAAATCCGAAAAGCAAATTAGTCAATTACAAAGCGGAAACACCATAAATTTGAAAGAAAAAGAAAAAGCTGCATATTCGTATAAAATTAGGAAATCCCAACTGGAGATTAAACACTAGAACAAAATTGAAATTAGAAAACGTAATTAAACAAATTACTGACCTTTCTGTAATCTGGGAAATGTTTGGTGATTGAGATGGAAGAAATCTGAGTGAGGATCTGGAAATGGACAAGTGTGGGCCGGTTTTTAAATTAAAGAAGAGTAAAACTAAAACTCAAAATTTGTTGAGGCGGGAGTCGCTTCAGCCTGACCCGGACCCGCCCTCCTAAGTTTGAAAACTTCAGCTAAGTGTCGCCCAACGCCACTGATAAGTGGGGCATCTCCCTCTCCTCCCTTTTAAATTTTGAAAATTGAAAAAAAAAAATCGATATGATATTATATATATGGTTCGTTTATTAATCTGTAATCAGATTGAAGAGAATTGAGTTGAGGAAAAATTAGAATGTGGGGAAATCAAAATCAAATTTTTGTTGGAATTCTTTACTAAAACTGTTTGAAATCGGAGTAGAAATGACATCGACTTATATAAAATGTTTACTAATTCACTTGAATCACAATAAAAATTAACGTAATTATTAAAATACCCCTATTGTAACTAATCTAATTTATATGCTAATTATTTTTAGTTAAACATTTTTATTTTTTTTATAGTAGAAAGTATATTTTTTCTTCGGTAAAACTTTTATCCTTTTTTTCATTTTTTATTGAGACCCTCTGTCCTGCCCCATTACCCAAAAAAAGTGACAATCAAAAATTAAAAGTTTAAAATAAAAAACAAAAATAATAATAACAACCAGGGTTAGTCACGCAGCAATATATTTTGGATAGGATTGATAATTCAATGAACCTCCGAAAAATCAATTAATTAAAATAAAAATAGATATAAAAACCTAGCCACTCGGTCGCAGCTTGTCTCACAACTCACTCCGTCTCCTTCCATCGCTTTGTTTTGCAGCAGTCCCTTCCAACAAATTTCACAGTCGAGTCTCCTCAGAGGCGCGACGATCTGGTGCGGCAGCGAAAAGGTACCTTTCCAGTCACCACCAGTCGCCTCCCTTTGCTCTCTCTCCCTCTCCTACAAATCCCTATCTCTTCATCTGCGGCCGCCTCCCCTTTCCACTCACCACCAGCCGCTCCCCTTTCCACTCACAATTGAGTCTCCTCTGCAGCCAACGAATGATCAAAATTGAAATTCCAAAATCCTCATCTTCTTCCCTTATGATTTTGGTCATGAAACCATAATCTCGCAGGCCACGAAACCTGCTAAATCTTCCTTTGACAGAGAGAGCAAAGACAGAGGTTGAAGGAAGAAGGAGTTAAGGGTTTATTGGGCAGAAAAAGTTGATTCCGGATGGATGCTTTCTGAGGGAGTCCGAATACCACCTATTGTTCGGTAGTTCAATTCTAGGGAAATCAGTAGGCCTGGTAAATGGGTCGTGTTTGTTGTGTTCGTGTAACACCTGTTATCTTAACGTGTCGTGTCGTGTCACACCTGTTATCTATCTTGACAGGTCGGATCACTTTACCCACCTGTTATTTTAACAGGTCGTGTCGTGTCACACCCGTTATCTTAACATATCCTTAACAGGTCGGGTCACTTTACCCTGGATAAAGTGACCCGACCTGCTATGACCCGCTATGATCCATTAAGAAAAATGTATTTTTATTCTTAAATTTGCAGATATCACACATTGCCGCATAAATATTACTTCAAAACATTAAAACACATTTGTCGTTTAAGTACTATATCTACACTTGAAAATAAGAGTCTAATAAACAAACATTCATACACTACTAGTCTATTACAAAATATTAAATGTGCAAGGATATGCGAAATGAAAGAGATTTTGTTTTCAAGGTTGTAAAGTCTTTCTCAAAAGTTTAAACCTTGCCAATAGAACTCAAAGCTTGCATGTTATTCCTTTTACAAAATCCTCAATTTTCATCAATCATCATGACATAAGATTTTGTGGTATCCACTAGTGTAAGTATTTTAAATTGAAGATCGAATTCATTCATTGTATTCATATAGGGTCAAGGAGTGTAAAAAAATCAAAATCAGAGTTAAAATAACCGTTAAATCGTGATTTTTTGTTGATAACCGTTGAAAAGTTTTGTCTCGTTACTTGATCTCTGAATGCTTGTTTTTTGGAATTTTTGGCATATGCGATCTCGAAGTCTATAGAATGTGTATCTCATCAAAACAATAGATTCACTAACACTTAAGAGTTTGTTTATACTTTCATTAAGTATAACATAAGATTTTGTGGTATCCACTAGTGTAAATATTTTAAATTGAAGATCAAGTTCATTCATTGTATTCGCATAAGGTCGAGGAGTGTAGCTGTAAAAAATCATCAAAATCGGAGTTACAATAACCGTTAAATCGTGATTTTTTGTTGAAAACCGTCGAAAATGATTGGATTATTGAAATTAGTTTCGTAGAATGCGTATCCTATCAAAATGATAAATTCACTAACACTTGAGAGTTTATTCATACTTTGATTAAGTATAACGTAAGATTTTGTGATATCTACTAGTGTAAATATTTTAAATTAAAGATCGAGTTCATTCATTATATTTATATAGGGTCAAGGAGTGTAACTGTAAAAAATCATCAAAATCGAAGTTAAAATAATTGTTAAATCGTGATTTTTCATTGATAACTGTCGAAAAGTTTTGTCCTGTTACTTAATCTCTGAATGTTTATTTTTTGTAATTTTTTGCATATACGATCTCAAAGCATATATAAACATGTTTGACGGTTGGATCATTGAAACTAGTTTCATAGAATGCGTATCCCATCAAAACAATAAATTCACTAACACTAAAGCGTTTATTCATACTTTCATTTAAGTATAACCTAAGATTTTGTATTATCCACTAGTGTAAATATTTTAAATTGAAGATTGAGTTCATTCATTGTATTCATATAGAGTCAAGGAGTGTAGCTATAAAAAATCATCAAAATCGAAGTTAAAATAACCGTTAAATCGTGATTTTTCGTTGATAACCGTCGAAAAGTTTTGTCCCGTTACTTGATCTCTGAATGTTTATTTGTTGCAATTTTTACTTGATCTCTGAATGTTTATTTGTTGCAATTTTTGGCATATGCGATCTCGAAACATATACAAACATGTTTGACGGTTGGATCGTTGAAACTAGTTTCGTAGAATACATATCCCAACAAAACAATAGATTCACTAACACTTAAGAGTTTATTTATACTTTCATTAAGTATAACATAAGATTTTGTGATATCCAGTAGTGTAAATATTTTAAATTGAAGATCAAGTTCATTCATTGTATTCATTTAGGGTCAAGGAGTGTAGCTATTAAAAATCATCAAAATCGGAGTTAAAATAACCGTTAAATCATGATTTTTCGTTGATAACCGTCGAAAAGTTTTATCCCGTTACTTGATATCTGAATGTTTGTTTTTTGCAATTTTTGGCGTATGCGATCTTGAAGTATATACAAACAAGTTTGGCGGTTGGATTATTGAAACTAGTTTCGTAGAATGCGTATCCCACCAAAAAAATAGATTCACTAATACTTAAGAGTTTATTCATACTTTCATTAAGTATAACATAAAATTTTGTGTTATCCACTAGTGTAAATATTTTAAATTGAAGATCGAGTTCATTCATTGTATTTATATAAGGTCAAGGAGTGTAGTTGTAAAAAATCATCAAAATCGGAGTTAAAATAACCGTTAAATCGTGATTTTTCGTTGATGACCGTTGAAAAGTTTTGTCCAGTTACTTGATATCTGAATGTTTGTTTTTTACAATTTTTTGCCGATGCGATCTTGATGCATATACAAACAAGTTTGACGATTGGATTGTTCAAATTAGTTTCGTAGAATTCGTATCTCATCAAGTTCAATGGTGTCTATATATATATATATATATATTTATTAAGTAGATTTAAATTTATTTATTTTGTACATATAACACTTAAGCAATTGAATGATATGTATATTTAAGCCAATCCAGTGGTCACCAATTTTTAATATTTAATTTAATATATATATAATTATCGTAGTTTTTAGGGGTATAAAATTGTTAAACTAATATATATAATTATTATAATATTTTTTTTAGGGTTATAAAATTATAAAATTAATATTTTGCTTATCGTGTATCGTGTTACCCACGTGTATACCCAAACCAACCCCTTATCTTAACAGGTGCTTATCGGGTTACCCAATAACAACCCGATTCATTATCGTGTCGACCCGAACACCTGTTAATTTCGTGTCGTGTCGTGTTGGATTATCGGGTTGTGTTAATAATTGCTAGGCCTAGAAATCAGTAACCTGATTCCCCATTTTAGATGGGTCCCACCCACCCCTTCATTCCCCCAGTGTTGGTAAACATCGGAATCCCTTGAAAGTAGTGCAATTCCCATTCCCTTCTATTTTCCTTACGTAAACACGTCAATAATTCATCTTCTCACCTTGGAATGTCATTCTAAAACGTCAAGTTTTCCATCGAACAATATCATACAAGTTATTTCTAAAAATGAGTCATGTGATTATTGGACGACAAACTTATAATATTAGAGTGAGTTAACCAATCATGATTTTGAATCAAGGTGATATCTGTGTTCTTTAAAGTGACAAAATAAAATTAGTGTATAAGTGACATATCAAACAATTGTTGGAATTAACCCTAAAATCTAACAGTAAACCCTATAATACAACGCATCAAGATTGGTGAAACCTTACCTAAAGAGGCCATGAACACGATGCAAAGAGACTCTTCTACTCACTTGGAGAATGTATAGTCTTATGGTGATAGTCCCAAACGAAGAATAGTTTCTTTGTGAGCAGGGAATCCATTTTTAAATAAAGCAAGGTTACCCACCTTCCATCTACCGTGGAGGTTGGTTATAGAGCTATTGCTTTCAGTTCCAATAGTGGAGGAAGTAGTTCTAATACAGGCTTCAAAATGCAAAGCACAATGGATGTAACTCCTCAATTATAGGACATGGTTTTACACGTATACAAAACCCTAACTGATTTATAATTTCAAACATGTTGAGACACTTTTATCACTACTAGTTGAGTCCATTTATGATTCTTACATTCTCCCACTTGGACGTTAACTAGTTGTGGTTTGAAACAACATGCTCATAATAAATCATTCCTAAGTGATTACCGTGAGTTTCACGCAATCCATATCCTACACACATCTACCAGTAACCATTTGAAAATCGAACTCCAGAATACAATGCATGTATCAATACTGCATGCACCCTGAAATCACGATATTCAAAATCGCACCATTTATGTACAATCCATACTTCAGTAATCACTACAATTATCACACATTTTCCTTCCACACTCATATGTCCAGTGCACTTTAGTCAGACTTATCTTTAGAGCTTTTCATCCTTAAACACTGGACATCGAGTTGATTTCTAGCTTCCTGGACAAAACAAACTTATCTAGTATGTTCTTTGGAACAATCATTGGCCACATTAAGTGCTTTAAATAAGTCTGAATCAATAACCATAGTGTCAATTGAATATAAGCTTGTATGAAACAACAAAACACAAACTCGCAGCAATACTAATACATAGTTATAATTCATGCAGTAGCATGTCCCACATTCTTACATAATCAAAACTATCATGCACACCCATGTTTGCTACATGTTCTTTGAACACTCCCACTAATCTCGCATATCGAAACTAATAATAAAGCTTCACGATAGTGGTACATTTCTAGAAAACTGGATCCAACAAATCTTTTCAGAGACATATCAACTATTCCTTATGTGAATGTGCAATAGCCGCATAGATCCTTATTTGATTAGTCATAATCTCCATCCTTACATTCGCAAGTTGATCTCCTGTATCACCGTAGTCCTCCTTTTACTTTAAAAATTGAAGCCATGCACAAGTCCAAAAAACTTTCACAAAGTAATACAATTAGCCATTATTCTAACTAGTTTAGCCACCAAGTTTATTTATTGCATGGATTCTTTTAATCAACCCAGAAAGGACCCTACGACGAAAGAGTACAATACATAATAATTTGCAAGGTGTAAGGTAAAACAAATATAAAGTTATCACTCCTAGTATTATTATTATTATTATTTTTTTTTTTTTTGAGAGGGTGCATACAATGAGCCTCGATAAAAATCTTACTGAGGCTTTCAACCCGGTTTAAGGGAAAAAGAGCGTCTCGCACCACTAAATTAAGTAACAATACTATCCTCTGAAAGCAAATCAAAAACTACATCCGGAGGTTCTTCAAACCATAAAACTTGAGTGTTTAGCGATAAACCTAGTCTCGTGAGCCGATGTGCAACTTTATTTGTCTCTCGGTGCCCAAATGTAGCCTTCCAAGTCGTAAAGGACTCTAACATATGCCTTGCATCCTGCAAAATATTGCCAAAC